GAGAGAGAGAGAGAGAGAGAGAGAGAGTGGAGAGGAGGGCGAGGAAGAGAGCGAGCGTCATCTTCTTACGTTAATATTATCACCGGGTCACACTGGTTCCGCTTTATCTCATTACAAAATTAACGAGCGTGACGTTAACGTGAACTCTGAGCACGGATCAGCGGAGGGACGATCAACTATACGGGACGTGTACGCGTGGTGCGGCGAGGACGACGTTACAATCGACACGTTCGAGGATTCTTGAATTTCTTTCATACGGTAGAAATGTTTCGTCTCTACAGCTTTCAGCTAATAAATGTGCGAATCGCACAAGGGGGTGCAAGAGCAAGTAGTAGATTATGAGGGAAAATTTCCCGACGCGATCACGATTAGATAGATCAGACGTGTAATTTATACGTTCATAAAGTTTGCCCTTAAAAATATCTCTCGACTCGTATATTTCCTCGACAACGGAGTTTTCTTATGCCGATTGCACCGCCGATTTCGGAGCACTCCTGTACGCGACACTTGCGTGCTGCAAGCGCAACGCGATCCCAGTGAAAGGGGAGAACATTATACATCATGCGACCAGCGTTCGTCCCGTTTATCCGTACAATTGTAACAATCGTAGGAGGTCCGTTATCTACATTATAATAAGTTCTGAGATAAGCAATTGAAGGTGGCGAACATTCTTTATACATGTGGCCACGCGTAGAAGGGTGTATTATCGTACATCTAATCCAATAAATAACTGTACACGTAACTGCATATTGTACAGACCGTATTCGACAAACTCGCGTAGAGACTGAAGTATGTACAGCGTGCTCGTGGCACGGAACTCGCGACGTAGAAATGCGAGCTATGAAGAAACATTGCGAATGTGAAAACTCATCTCTTTACTTCGTCGGGCGTCTTGTCGATCTCACGGGATCGACGGACGGTGCGATTATGTCGCGTGGTTTTTATACTGTGACGTCAAGATCGAATTTGCAGCGACGCGAGAGTAGCTTGCACCTAATGAACTCTTGATCCGGGGAAAAAAATCATGTTTCCTGAATTTCATTCTATTCGGTCTGACGTTATGCTGAAAGAAATCTTTGTCACATCGCGTAGCACCGCTTGCGCACGGAGAAAGACACGAGGCGAGGTAAATTGCCACGGCAGATAATGCATTCTCCGTTATAAAAAGTCCATTGCACGATGAGCGGGCGTAGACAAATTTCGCGTTTCTCGATACGTCAAGCAGTTCTACGTTGGTACTTCTCTTCGTTGTAACGAGATAAAGAGTTAGTTGATTGAAGGATTGTTTCATTATTGTTATATACGTCTGCATGTGTGTGTATATGTATATATGTATGGTGTATATGTGTGTGTATTTTTCAAATACGAGAAACCGGTGAAAACCTTTGTAGCTTCGCATCCACCAGGTGTTCAGGAAATATTTGCTAAACAGTTTTTCGTTTGTTACTTCAATGAACCATATAATATCTAAATAGTGTAACGATCATCAATGGAAATAATTTTGCACGAATCTCGCTTGTACATATGCGAGGACTCGTGATGAATCCATCGATGGGTACAACTCGTGATGCGCGAGAATTTCTCGTAGCGACAGATCAACAGGATTCATTAGGATCGCATTGATTTATTTGAAAATGGTCGCGTATTGCTCGAGGTTTCATCTAGGATTAATTGATAAAACATGATCGCGAATATAATGCAAAGTGTCCGCGTAAACGTCTTCGTTGACTCCGTCTCAGAGGCGTTTCGTGAAAGTAGCAGACGCGGAAGTTTGTCGATCTACTGAACGTTAAAACTTCGTCGAGAAATTTTAAAGGTGTACTGTTACTTTGCCAAGTATAAATTACATAGAATCTTTTAACGGTATTAAAGTGAAAACTGCAAATGATGAATTTCAAGAAATTTAACATCTTTCGAAAAGTTCGTGGTATTGAAAAATCGTCACTCGTATATTTATGAGAGACAACTTATTTAGGCGATATCAGACAGATGAAGAGAAATTAGATCATTCTTATTCTTAACATTACACTATATAATTCTTATATTACACACTGTACTCTCAGAAAGAATTTAGAGAATTTATTCAAATAAATAATTCAAATCTTCTGAGAGAAATTAATGATAGGAGAAATTAGTGAAATAAAATCTATATCAGTTTAGTGCTAGAAAAATATTTAAAGTTCGCATATCATTATTTCTTTCTCTGTCTCAATATTGATATAAAATAATATAATATAAACTAATATAAATTAAAATAAAATTTATTAAATATTCTTTTCATATATATTATAATTTAATAATAATTTAATAATTAATAATTTATGTATAATTTATATATAATTTATATATAAAATAATTTATAATAAATAATAATTAATAATTTAATAATTAATAAAATTACGAGAGAGAAAATTACATGAGAATTATTGTTATTAATACATAAAGCAGAGTAAGCGGAATCTATCGAATACGACAAATGTTGCGTTAATCAAGCATTGAACGATTATTTTTAAATTCACAAAATTGTCAGCTGCTAAATGACGTTTGGAAAAAATGCTGTCATAAGTGATCCCGTGCTGAACTGAAGCCGGTTTATAAAATTTGATTTGATTTGGTTCTCTCTCTCTCTCTCTCTTTCTCTCTCTCTATTGCGGACTAAACTCGGCCTTTCCATCAATTTATTGATATCGTTGAAGCCCAATAACGGAATTAGTTCGTGCCGGATCAAATTTTTAACCGCAAATTTTTAACGGAAACCGAAATACCTGGTCACCTTCGCCATGAGATATGAGCCGCGCCACTACGATCGCATTCAAACGTGAATAGTTACATATCGTGAAAGTTCTCGCCATTTGTCCCAATAATTTCAATGCTCTCTCCGAGAGCTCGTTCCTTTAGGTAAAAAACCTGTGCGATACTAGTGAAACTTCAAGTACGGCCGTGACGTTGAGCTATAGCAAAATTCGTCGTCGAATGCATATCCAACTATTCGAAAATATTGGACGTAAGGACTAGCGCCGCGTAAATCGCTCCTCCCGTTAATATTAACGGAGATTAATATTCGAAACTATGTCCGAAGTTGCCAATGCTTGAAAATCTAAGGCGCCGATAATCTCGTTCGTTATATCTCTCAAGGAAGAAAAAAATTACGAAGTACTACGGTCGATACGGAAAGTCCGATAAACTTCTGCTCGGCAAGAGTACGATAGAATCCGCGATCCAATTTATCGAATGTTTGCCATGTAAATATTAAATTTTTTAAATATCACGACTCTCCAAACCCGTAATGTAATTTCACTCGTGAATATAGTTCTTCGCGATATTAACACTGAACAAAGCTCGCGTACTATTGAAACCTCTCGAACAACAATCCCGAATTTTTCATAAAAATGTCCGACATCGAGAAAAGAGAGGGAGCGAGAGAGAGAGAGAGAGAGAGAGAGAGAGAGAGAGAGAGAGAGAGAGAGAGAGAGAAAGAGAGAGACTATTCTAATAACTAATTTATCTTATATGTTAGGCGCGCGCGCGCGTTTGAAGTGGACAATCTCAACTGCCTCCTTCGACGAACTCCGCGTAATCTCCGTGGTCTACCTTGGATAGAACTACACAGGGAACCGTATACAAACTACAAACTATTGAGAAACTAATCGCATATCCTTCTGTTCGTTATCGGGTCCAGAACTTTCCTAATCGCGAGGCCGAATAATAGGCAGAGACTTCTCGCATTTTGTGCCGTGTTCTTCGAGGTAATACAATTCTCTTCGATATATAAAGCGAAACATGGAGTGCCATTTCACTACCGAAACCAGTCACCTTGAAGTTCGACTCGCCTAATCGAATCAGTCATTCTTGAATTCTCCGTCCGTGTACGATTATCCGCAATAATCTACGTATACAACGTCGCGGAAATTGTCACTTGTTTGTCACGGCAAACTCCATCGGTTCTTACCATCAGTGTGAGAGGAACTAAGGCGAACTATTTAAACGATTGATAGATTACGCTTCCAAACGTGTCTCTAGATTATAATCAATAATAATATCCGGGACATGTGAGGTACTGTTACGACTAGAAGATTGAGAGTTTGATTTTGCCGTAAACACGCAAACTAGAATATTCCCAGAGAGATAAATAATCTAATTGCTTCCTTCATCCTTCTAACGAATTTGACCTTTTCATCGACACAAAAAGTGGATACAAGTGCGAGTAAAGTGTTAGGTATTAATCTGTCGACAATTGAGTCAATGAGATATTTATCTTATAATTTATAAATAATTTTACGTACACAGTCAAGCGTTTAAATCTTCCGAAACTTTTAAATAAACAGCTGGTTGAAGTTCTTTAACCATATGTTCCCGTAATTCAGATCATCCTGCAATATATTACTAAACACGACCTCCTCTCGATTCGCTAGAGCAAAACTCATCGAGAAGAGTCAATGATCGCGCGTAAGTAATGCATTGCTACGATTAAGTGCGCCGGCAAAATTCAACACGCGCAAAAATTACTGTAAGCTACCGTAGGCTACCTATTTCCTATAAGGCCTAGATTCGCGCACAAATCTCTACTTGGATATCTCGATAATTAATCGAGCGGCGTGTCGTCGGCAGCACGCGTCCCAAGGGCAGGTAAATCTTCTACAATTACGACTAGAGACGGATGCATTTCCGGTGCGCGGTTTTACGCGCGCTCTTCAACCGGCGGCCGACGACCTCTTGCTCGAGGTCAGCCTCGAGGTTGGGACTTAAGACTTTCGCGACCGCAGAGCCGACAAAGGATTCAGCCGGCGTCGAGGTGTACTCTCGGTGGACGAAGACGCACTTTTAGATTTCGAAGCTTTCGACGCTTTTTCCTTGCCAGTAGCGGCTGCGGAGGTTTTCACCGATTTCCCGGATTTGTTCGCGCCGCCTCCCGAGCTCGCGCCCGTGGAGGCCGCGGAAGATGTTGGCTTGTTAGACGCGACATTTGTGTTCTGGGAAAGGGTTTGGGTGTTGGGTCTTACTTGTACCTCGCAGGGGGGCGGCGCGCTCCTGTACGATGGCACGATCTTGAAGGTCACCGATCCTCGTGCCTCCCGCTGTAACAATCGAAGGTGATTGATTCTTTAAACGTTACGTTTAATTTAACACTACGGATTACGAGTAAGCAAAGATAAATGGATAAATGGTGATAACGAGAAAAGCAAATCTAAGCTTGAATTCCGAAAACGCCAAATTTTCATGCAAAGTTTCATAACGATATAAAATGTACAAGTCTATTTTGCGTCAGTGAGATTGCGTCTCGTTTCATATTTTATTTAATTGGTTATTTGCACCGGTAGGAAACAGAAAAGTGTTCGGAATGAAGCTTGCAAGAAAGAAGGCATTTAGCAGAATTACCGAAAAACCATAAACGCGAAAAGAAGACTTTTTCAATGGCGTTTGAGTGAAGCAGCGATACTCACCAGGATCTTTTGCAAAGCATTAACGGATTGATTCGCGACCGGTATACCGTTAATCTCTCTAATCTCGTCGCCAACATGCAGAGTGGCTTGTCTATGGATCATCCCACCGTGCATAATCCGCGCAACGACGCATTTTCCATCCTCGTTCATTTTCAGCGTGATTCCCTGAAAAACGAGCGGTTAACGCGAAATGGATTAAGAACGATAAATGCAGCGCGCGCCACTAGCGATATAATAGCGTAGCTATACACACTTTGCAATATCGTATGCGTGTATCGCATACGATAAACACTAATCTCGAGTTAAGCCGCGTGTAGTATAAATGATAATGTAAATTTCAAGTTGAAATTGCTACGCGAGCACAATTGTCTCGCAGCGTGTTTAGAGAATTTCGCTTTTACCGCGTATTCCGTTACCGCGCGCGATATCGCCGCGAAAAGCATTTATCGCGCTCTCCCGTTCGCCCGATGCATTTTCCCGTTTGTCTCTCTTTTAATACGCGCGACGATCCGAGAGAACATTCAAGGCACGGTTCTTTGAGTTGAGCGATATTTCAACATAGGTGTGCTCGATGTTCGTTTATCTCATTTCTCGTGGAAGATCTCAAGTAGGCGTGCGACCCTCCACCTCCCCCCTCCCTCCCTCTCTCTCTCTCTCTCTCTCTTTCTCGTTCCATGGTGTAAATTGAGTCACAGGTCGTAACAAAATCTATCATGTCGTGTACTCCAACGTTACGTGTCGCACACCGACGAAGAGGCACGTATCCGCGACGGCGAGCACTTTAAAAGTGCCACTTACCATCGGCTCGTCCGTGTTCTTCTGGAACTGCACTAGTCTCACGCGAGTAACGTTCTCGAGGTCTAAATCGCCGTTTTGCCCTTCGAGATCATCGCTGCCGTTTAGATATGGCAGCAACGGCGGTGGTGTTACTCTGGTGGCTTCTTCGCCGTAAACCTCGTGGCCGGCGACGTCGTGTGCTTGTAAAAGTGCCTGGAACACACAAGGTGAAGTTGCAGATTAAGATCTGAACGTTGCACAGTGGGATGTTTGGCCTGAAAAACTGGCCAAAAGTCAATTATCTTAAAATCATTCCTGCTCCACATGAATGACTGTCTTAGACAGTTGACTGTCTGTGGAATAATGGGCCGCTATGCTTTTGTTCGGTCGCGATAACAAGAAGCGGTTTGATTGATCGGAATTTGGACATGGTTCGTATTGCAGGCATCAATTCTCAGCGCTTTATAACATATACGATCTTCGATCAGAATTCTAGGTTCTTAGAAGGTTCTTAGAAGTGGCAGCGCGAAATTTTTCGTTACGGATTGTTTCGAGCAAGGTATTAAGAGAGGTTTTAGACTATATTTATTACGATTGAATTATTATTCACGTAGATATACGATTTTGAAAATATCATTCAATAATGTATCGTTTTGCCTTCTCGATGTCAAACTCGAAAGATTTAATTATACTTCAGGGTGTATCCCTGTTACGTTTTTCTTGAATGAGATGAAAGAGTAATCTCTCGGGATAAAATATCAGAAAGAATTAGCCGCGGAGAACCGCGAATGTAGTTTTTAGTAATTACTTTTGTTTCTCTGAACGTAAATTAGGTTTTGTCCAAAGGTTATTTAGACATGAAGTTTCCTTTGGTTTCTTTTTGTTTTTCTTGTTTCTGTTTGCAACATGGACATAATCAACAGACATCTACTAAGTTCTGACCCGTTACTAACAAATATGAGATCCGTATCAAGAAAGAAGTCTAAATCATTTTTAAAGGAAACATTGGATATGCTTCTTCTCACTGATACCACACCAAGAAGAGGAGATATTTCAATAGATGAAAATGACGTTGATTCTGAAGATGGAAAACACTCATTGGGTGAAGAATTTTGGAGTTTGTCTAGTTGAATACTTACTGAAGTGCAATATTATGCTTTCTTAATTATTAAGATATTTTTACATATATATTTGCACGTTATTTCATGAAAACTTGTACGAAATCTGCATAATGATATAATATATATAATTAGTAGCACGTTTCAAACCGAAATTCGTCAAAAGATAATTTTGGCCAACTTTTTGGTACAAACATCCCACTGCGCGTCGCAATGAAACAAAAGGAGAAGGGGACGACGCAGACCGAAAAAAGCGTACTTTTACATAATCTAGTATTGTTTTTTTCTATCACTGGTAAAAAATAGGTATTATCGGGTAATCCGAATAATACCAATAATATGAGTGACTTTATTATATATAATATTTATTTAACGAGTATACATTTATTCATTGGGTACATATATAGGCGAACGATTTTGTTAATGGCGGTGAATTTTTGCGACGTGTGTTGAAAATTTGACAAATCGCTCCCTATTCATTCACCCTTGCTCTCGGTTTCAATATTTACGAAAAGAACGCATTAATTGCGCAAGGAGAGGAAACAAATGACCATATATCGATCGTTGATTATGTCCTCTTCGCGGAACGCGCGGATCTAAATATGAATGTTGAGCTCGTTATCGGTGCAAAACATAGTTCGTGTTGACGTTTCGGTTGACGTTCTGGATAATGCATCGCGCCGGAAGAGAAGTTATTTCTCGCGAAAATAGCGCGCGAACGCAGCGCGATATTATAGCGCTTGATTATTTTTACACGTCAGCTGCTCGGTGGTGTTGTGCGAAATTACATGTCTTAAACGCGACGTGCGCGCTCGAATAATGATTTTCCATGCGAACGAAAGCACGTCGCACGTCGCGTTTAAGTAAGTGGCGGTATACGCGTCTCCACCAAACTGGAAGAGTGTAAAATATATGCATTTTCATTTATATTTAAATTATCAGCTTTCATCTAAATTCAAATGTAAATTCTGATTTTAACGTCGCGCATATACAGCGACACACGATAAACAAATAAACAATCAAGTTTAACAACTTTGCAAGCATATTACATATTTGTTAACGTACTTGTGTACGTGCAAACATCGTACTCTGCTGCAGGCTGTGGCACGTCTTTGTGTGTTATCGACAAACATGTCGTTTATTGTTATAACTGCTTCAACATACGAAATATGACGTTGATACGGGCGGGGTGGAGTAATTTGCGTCGCTTGCGTCGAAATACACGTACTCTTTCATAATTCGACAACTTTTCGTGAAATTCGCTGAAGGCGGAAGTGCGTCACAGCGCATCCGTGCATTTGACGCATATGAATACTCAGCCTGGCGGAAAGAAAGGTACTCTGCGAAACTTACGATGTTTTCGTCGGCCAAGCGCGAGCGCTGTGAAAAACGACAGACGACGTTCGGAAATTGATCGTTCGAGGATTAGTCGTCGCCCGGAACGTTCGCGTATGAACTTTTGAATATCAATTTGCTCGATCGAATCCAGAATTTGCGATCGGTCGTTTATTCTTTTTTTTTTGCCCTCTCACGTCGGAGCGTAACGAAGCGATTTTCAATTTTGGATATCCGCGCGGGCGTTGGCGTTCGCTCAACGATCAACGCGTTGTATTAGCGTAACGTAATTAAATTTACTCCGACGAAGCGTGTACGGGATTACTCAGATCGCTGTGTGTTAATAAGTATCGTCGGATGTTTCCGACTTTGTGTACTTTATAAATCGGATTTACATCGCCAAGTCGAATCTTGCGTGCCTGATATTGGAGATAGCCGAACTCTCCAAATGTTGACTCCGATATGATATTTGCCGAAGCTCCATGCGGCAACTTCTCGCGTTACACGCTGCCCGTCGGTAGATTAGTTGAATAGACACTTTATGGGCAGCGGTAACTGAGTTTGTAGTTCAATAGCGGTATTTGGGTTCTAAACTTCAGTTGTTGGTCGATCGAGCTTAAATCTTAACCCGTCGTGGCCTCCGAACTGTGTGACAGGTGAACTCGCGGCTTGTTTGCGTCGTGAACCCGATCTTCGCTTTGAGGCTGCTACGCGCGTTCCCGACACCCTAATCACATGTTTGTGTAATCCTTCATCGGTTAGTCTCGGTTTCATCGAAACGTACACTCGGAGGATATCGTGTAAGAAACTTCGACGGTATCTCGCGAAGAATCTCAGCGGGATATCAGTCTTCAAGCTTGTTTCACGTCGATTTCACGATACGCTACTACTGTACATGATTCATATTTTACAGCTAACAGCCTGTGTGAGATATTTTCAGAGCATACCTATAGTGTGCACGAAAAACTCACAGGACGTCGGCGAAGCTGCTGACATACATAAAAAATGAAAGATATCGCTACGCATTCGTAGCGTTCGTAGATGCGAGCGCCTCTCCGAGAGGTCGCGCATGAACACACTTGCTCCAAGGACAGTTCCAGCTCACCTGAAACGCGGTCAAACTCGTCACCTGCGACCCAGTTGATAGCCGCGACACGTTTCTACATCTCCCCTCTCGCGTACCCGCGCGTCTAATCTATATGCAAATCGCACTCGGAAAAAATATATTTCGGATACGCCACGGAGTTGTCGTCGCTGCTGGTGTCTCTACTGTTACGGTCACGAACGGGGGATGAAACTGCGGGAGAAGATGAACTGAAAGATAGATCACTCTCGGATGATATGTATGCGAGTATGCGAAAGGTCGACCGACGAAAGCGTGCGAGTGCGAAGAGAGAACGCGTTCGTCTCGCGAGTTTCTGTCTAAATTGTCCTCCATGTTCTTGATTGCGCCCGCGTAAGAATTGCGCGTTTCGCAAGCGTCCATTAACATGAAAGCGAGCGAGCGAGCGAGCGAGAGAGAGAGAGAGAGAGAGAGGGAGAATTCACCACAAACAATTTGTTGCGAGGAAAGAAAGGAAACAGCCACAACGAAGCGAAGTAATGTTACCAAGACAGGAAAGACGAGCGGTGCGGTATAAACCATAAATAACGAATTAATCTTAATATGATAGCGCGACCGCGTTTTTGTCTCTTTATCGCGCCATCTGTGCGGAGAGCAGCGCGCTGCGGTTGCATACCTAATGCAAGAAAAACGGGGACAGTTGTGTCCGGGTTATTTCGACGGTTTTCGCTCGCGGGGCCGTTAATCGAATGCCGTTAATTACATTAGCGCCATCGGATATTCATTAATCGAAGACGGCCACGGAGCCGCCGCCGTCGCGCCGGTGCAGCGTTATCGTTTCTCTCTCCCTTTCTTCCGCCTTCCTCCTCTCGTCAATTTTCCCTCTCTCTCCCTCTCTCTATCCCTCTCTCTCTCTCTCTTCCTTTTTTAGAAATCTATTATCGATTGAAGAAAAAAGGAAATATCAGACGGTCGTAACGAATTGCATCGTGCGCGGCGAGTGTCGTTTATCTTCATCGTGCGATCCGCTTCTTCGAGATCTGTCGGCGGTGTTCACCGTCGTCGAAGAAACTGTGTATTCATACATCATCCCACGCTGGAATTGCGCACTTGGAATGTTTTCATTCGGAAAACATCGGATTACCATAATTTCAGAATAGCATAATGCATAATATTGCTACGCGAATAGCGTCCGTCACACGGGATATGTATACACGCGGCGCTTTACCCGCAGACACACGGAGCTATCTCGCGGGAGGGGTACGGATACGCTGTTGCAAATCTGACACGAGAAATGGCAACGTGCGAAAATGCTAATGAGAGAAAAAACAATGATCGGAGACGCCCCTGTTTGTCGCAGCGTTTGTCACGGGATTCAAATTACCTATTCGTATTTTTGCTAAAACTACCCTACGTCGCTTTTCAGTCGGAGCAAATGCCGTAAATAAATCTACAGGTATTGACACGTTTTTCGCCCCTTACAATTCCTTATTTCAACAGCCAGTATCAATTAATTAAGGTGAATGAACAAACACCGATAGACAACGAAATATTGATAAAAGACGATTTATCTCAGAAATTGACTGACAAATACGTGCTTTGCATTTAGAACACAATATTTGAATAATTTAGGAAACAATATCTGAGAGCTTGCGGTGTTGTTCTTTTGAGGCAGACGTTTCACCCGAAAGACCCAC